GTATTAATGTCATTGGTTATATTATCAAGTTCGATATTAAAATAGAAATTAATAGTTCTAAAATAATTTTGAGAATAAATACTACATAACATTTACCCTATCAAGTGCATTCAGCCAAACCTTTATAACCAATGTCGATTATCTAGAGGGAATTTTAGAGCGAATGTAGCATCGTGAAACCAACATGAATTTATTTCCGCGAAACCTGAACTGCAAACACTTTGGGGAGAATACATTAGCGAAACTTTCATAGTAAACTCATTATGGAAAAATTTTTACCGCGAAACTTATATAGAAATTTTACCGCGAATTTATTTCACGAAAGTCATTATTTACCGCGACCATTAATATATTACGAACTTATTTATTAAAAGAAAAACAACATATTCACGAATATTTTATCCATATTCTTAAATACTTGACGCGAAATGTTTTAAGAGTATTTCGTTTTATTAAGGAAGCAAGAGTTAGTTTAATTGCGACTTTTATTCTTATCTGTTGAAAAATAACTTGGAGATTTCTTACAGGTTTTCTCACTCTCTCTCTCTCTCATAATCATTGGAATATGGAAGGGGCATTTTGGCTTCAATTTTTTTACCCCAAGATATTTATCCTCCCCCCTTCCCATCCCCAAAATAAATTTTGAAAATTTAAAAAATGCGCCTTCATTTTAGCAAATATTCTAAAATCCATAGAATTCTTTCCTTACTTAGTCAGGGTTAAAAATACTGAAAGTTAATTTTTACTGATTTACTAATTTTATAAAAATCATACACGATTTCCCTAACTAAAAATTTTGATTTTTTCAAAAATTTTTTTATTTAGTTTCCGAGTTAATTATTATTTATACTTTTAATGATTTTTTCTTATGAATCTCATTTTTTTAAACCTCTTGTTTTTTTAGAAAATTCTTTTATTTCTCCTCTGAGCCCCTGACACTCAAATGTGTCACAAATGTAACCATTTTTTTATATTTAATATATTTAAATTATTCGAATAATAAAAACCTAAAATGTAAATTAATAACATCTTATATGATATTATTTAAAAGGAAGTTTCATGAAGATTCATACCAGATTTTTGCATGTCTTTCGAGTATTATTTTTTACTTACTGATCCGATATGACTTTATGATATAATAATACCGTAATTCTTTGGAAGATTTTGACGACCTCCTTTCTAGTTTTTCCGTATTTCAATAAAATAACTGCTAGGTTATGATCAAAAAAGATTCCAAAATATTCTAATAGATAAGATAAATTTGTAATTTTTGCTAAAGAAAAGAAAATTATTATTGTGATAATAAATTATTTGTATTTCAGTTTATATTATTGTTTTATTGTTTTAAAAAAATAATTTCACTTATTTCATCATTGTAAACTCTTTCTCCATGTGATTTTTTAAGCTGCGTGGTTGCCTGAGATTATAACTGATACCCATAAGATTATCTATTGTACAATCTTCATCTCTACTATACTCCTTACTTTTATTCTCATCACTAAATGGCTCAAAGAAAATTGATGTTGTTTGATCATCTTTAATCTCCAATACTAGCTAAATAAATGTGTTAATATAAATAATTATAAAATTTAAACTTTATAAATAATCAGTCAATAATTTTATGAAATTTTAAATATAATTGATTTAACAGCATATTTTATGAAAAACACAACGTTGCTCAATTTGTAAACACTCTATTACTCTTCTTCTTTTATTAACAAAAGGGAATTAATACAAATCGGGAATTTATATTAAAAATGAAATATATAAATAAAAAATAACAGCTATAAAATGTGTAAATAAAAAATGCCAAGATCGGGCCATATTTTAATTTTTTAAATATACTCGGGCAGGGTCTAAAAGTTTTTGAAAAAGGGATCCGGGCCGTTCAAATTGTACCTCTGCTCTGCAGGTCTCTGATTAAAATATTAAATAGAAAATATTCCAGATCAAATAAATGAAAATGTTGCGATATTGGAAAAGTATTAATCAGGCAATAAATAGCCCAACACAGATATCACTTTCACCAATAAGTATTAATTAATGAACCCAATAATTATACATTCTTTAACAGATTCTTATAAAATAAGACTTCAAAGAAAAGTATAGGTCAGGGTACATGAAAAATTATATTCATAATAATAAATTTTCTAAACCAATTTTAAACTCGAGAGTCATTATATAAATTTATTAAGTAAAAAAAAGCTCTATTATTGAATCGATCGTTTAATCGTTTTTTTATAAATTATTGTTTTAATTTATATTATCTAAAAATAAATAAAACAGACAGTTAGTAATTATCGGGGTATTGCTTTCGAGCGATTGACGATATTGACATGATAATAATTTCGTGAAATAGTTTTCGCTTGTTTTTAATTTGCGTTTCGCAATTATGATAGCTATTATTGATTCGTGATAAAAGTTTTGTTATGTGCTCCCTGCGGTAAAAGTTTCGCTATAAAAATAATTCGCAATATAGTCTTCGAGAAATAGTATTAGCGATAAAAGTTTTTTTTGTAATAAATCCATTTGCGATTAGTATTGTTAAAAACCCCGATTATTGACCTGAATGGACTTTTTGCAATAATGGTTACGCGAAATCGCTATAAAAGTTAAGCGAAAAAGTATTTCGTGAAAAAATTTCGCTGTATTATATCGTATTTATATTGTTGGCTTTTGTTATACATAAATCATACAATTCGGTTCAATTTCTCAAAATAATAAAGGGTTATAAATAAATATTTCAAATATTTCTTGTGATATTTGCATTAGAAAAAGGTTAAAATAAAAACGATTAAGATAAATTGATATTAAGAAATTAATACATCAAGCTATAGGTATACAATACAACGCAATAAAATAAACATCTCGGTTAGTTTATCGTAGTAGGTGGTATACAAAAAGAATATTCTCTTTTTGTACAGACCAAATAATGATTATTTAAGGAATTCAATTCAATTAATATATTTTTTACAACAAATAAATTTATAATAATTAATTAATTTTGAATATATATACTTTTCTCTTAATTTTATACGAAAGGTCTAGAGTAGAAAATGAGACTAGAGAGAGAACCATTATAATTATTTTTAATTAAAATTTGACGTTTTATAAAAAGCCAAATTTTTTGAATAATTATGAAAAATTATTATTAGGAAAATATAAAATATTTATAGACATAATTTTATTACTTTTGCATATTTTGTAAGCATATTTATGTTATGTTACCATCCATAGAAATAACAATTTAGTTCATCGGTCTTAATCATGTTAGATAATTAATTAAATATGTAAAAGGACATAAATGTCACGAATAAAAGGACAAAAATTACCCTTGGATAGAGAGTGGGTAAAAATATTCCAATGTTAAAAAAATTTTTACATAAAAAATTGTATTTTTAATTAAAAAACATGATTTGAATAATAAATTAATGAACTATAAACCCCTGATGGGGCAGGCTAGCAACGACATCCATGTACATTTTCCAGAGGATGCTCGTATATTATTTTTGAATAAGACTCCTAAAAATTTTTTAATTTATGGGTGGAAAATATTTTGCATAGTATTACGCATGGTCGTATCTAGTATTTTGTTGAGGGGTGAGGGGCACTATTAGAGTTTTCCCCATATTATTGGAGGTTTTTAAGTCCATTTATTGTAGACCTTTGTCTATATTTGATTTTTATAAAAATAATTTTGATTTTTCTTTTTCATAAAAATGCTTTTTTTCTAAAAATTTTGAATTATAGCCGTTATTTTCAAAAGTTATTCACTTTTACTCATTTTTCTTCAAATTATTCTTTATAGTGATATTATATATTTTTAGGGGGGGGGGGGTTGGGGTGGAGTGTAGGGGATTATATTTTATTTATTATGTGGAATTTTTATTTATTTTCTATATAAGGCTATGTCTGTGTCCAAAATATTAACAATCCACAAACTTTCGAAACTTTAATGAAAATATAAATTAAGCCATTTTAAAAAAAATTCTTACTGGGGTTAGGGATCTCCTGCGTGAATTAGAAACACTCTCAATAGTACAGCAAGATTAACTTTATATTCAACATGACATCATGACTTTGAATTTATTCATACTACTAACATCAACATGGTTAAAAGTTATTTGTTCAGTATTTCCACCAAAATATAAAAATATGTCCAAAACAATTCAGAAAATTTCAACATTTTGGCACAAATTTAAAATTTTTAAATTTGCAAAAGTTTTCTAATTTTTTAAAATGGTTATGGACACACTTAAATAAATAATAATAAAATATAACTCGAGAGTTAACATGGGTTTTTTTAAAAAACAACACTAACATATTAATCACATATTTTATTTTTCAAACATATAGTGTCGTTACTATATAAAGGGGAAAAGACACTCATTGTTTATATAGAAAATTACATGACTAAGCTAAAATAAGACATAAAAGTCTGTGAAATTTTACTCACATTCATTTTGGATTATTATAGGAATAATTATAAAAATTCGATAAAATATCCACCCATTTAGCTGGATTTTAAAAAAAGTCTTAAATGATTTAAGTTAAAATGGAATTTAAGTGATGATATGCCTTCATATCAATCAAAATAAAACTTAGATATAGTTTATAAAGATAGGTGGGAGTTACTCTATACGGGATGGCTAGGGCTCGATAGATATTAATGATAAATAATTATTTAAAATTTTTAGGAACATTTTCAACAACATTTTCAACAAGGATATTTCTGTCTGGGGTATTTTTGTAGTTTTTGCCCGGGTGTCTATTATTATTTTATCCTGGCCTTTTTGTTAGGGGTATTTCGGCATTCAATTAAATCATGTAAGATTTTATTAATTTTCTGCCAATATATATGTGAAATGAAAAGAGATTTGATTATAAAATTTATATATATACCTATTTTAAAAAATTATTATTTGCAGGAAATAATTAATACAATATTTTAATTTTTAAAGTAAATATTGATCATGCAAAAAAAACAAATAATTATTTACCAAATTTATATTTGTGTCTGGTGTGTAGGCTTGCCTTAGCATTAACCCTTCTGCCGAAGATTTGAACTTCTCTATTACTACACTTGTTATGGAGCATAAATGTTGGTCTATTCAATTTAAGTTCTCTTAATTTATTAATTTTATCCTTAGTATCGATATTTGGGATTGATGGCATAAATATTTTTGGTTTAAGGGAGGCATCGAACAAATCAAAAATCTTTGATTCAATATTATCGGTCGTAAGACGGTTATTATCCTTGAACGGTACATCTGAATAAGAAATATATCGGTTAGAGGAGTTGCTAGAATTTCCAGTATTTACCAATGGTTTAAATATAGAGCTGGTTTTGTTATGAATGTACAAAGCATTCTCTTTAAATTTAAGCCTAGCAGGAATGAACAGGTGTGGGAAATTTGGTTTTTGGGAATAAAAATATTGAGCATTGTTAGTATTATTGATTATTATATCTTGATGACTTATGTAGTTATTAAGTTTATCTGGATTGTCAAAATTAAAACCATTTTTGGAAGGATTAGTCATTTGCTTAATTTTATAACACATTTTATTTTTTATATTCCATTGGCATATACGATCACCGATGTTTAAATTAATAGCTTGAGAGAAAAGTATAGAAGGGATTTTACTGCTTTCAAATATGTTAGTTTCTCTACTTTTTACACGAAATACATCCCGTTTTTCATCGATTGATGTTAACGAATATATATCAGAGTCAAAAAATTTAGGTTTAGATGTAGTCTTACTTTCAGTTACCATGTTTATGATGGTTTTTGATAAATTATTTCTGGAATTATCGTAATAATAAAAATCTTCTAAATCATAAGAACCAAAAAGCGGCAGGGCGTATGCGTAAACTGCTAATTCTTTATCGTTTGATAATATTGAACTATTGATGATAGTCATATTTAAAGGGTCTAACTCGATCTTTAGGTTTCCGATAGTCAAACACTAAATTTAAAATTTTTTTTATTATACTACAAGATTATTTAAAAAAAATAAAATAATTATCTTATTGTTAGTGTGTGGTGAAGCAAAATAGACATTATTTGTTTTATTTTTTGCTGGCTCATTGTCTATCTAATTTCTTATTATAATAACACCTTTATTTTATTTTGGTTTGAAAAAGTATTTGCAATTTCTAATTTAAATTCTTCATTCCCCTCCCTCTATAGTATCTCTTACATCACGCTTTGTTTAGCTTTTATAAATTACTATTATTAAGAGTATCTATCCCATTCACAGATTTAAAGATCAAACAATATTTATAGAGAATTATGTCCTTACCGCCAAAATTTTTCTTTTAAATTACTGCAAATGTCGATTACCGAAAAAATATTTCTGGGAAATTATTAGCGAGAATGCATATCTGCAAATATATTCCTATATAATCATTACTGTGAATGTATTCATGTGAAAATTTTCCTAGGAATGGTTTCCAAGCTATGGACTGATATGGTGAAATAAATATAAATGCTTTCCATATTTATTCTGAAACTAGATAAGGGCTAAGGCTTATACATTTGTCAATCACATAAGTATAATTTAGCTAAATGCCATTCTCATGCTAATATATTCGCAGATTGCAATGTATTGGATATCATATATTAGGATATGCCTTCGGGGTATTGCATTGTAATTCATTCAAGGAAAAGTTTTGTATGATGTGAGCATATTTCAAGATTTTAAAAAATTTTGACATTCCTGGCTTACTAATATTAGTCAATCTTTCTTTAAAATATTTAAATATTAAATTTATTGCACTTGCTTGTTAACTTTTTGTTCCTTTTTAAAGTTCCGAGAGTTCCCACTTCTTATTTATTAAATTATGCACTGATTATTATATAATGATTTCCAATCAAATCTAATCATGATATAAAGCTATATATTATTAATAGACAGAGTTTGCAAAAACTTTATATGCTAATTTTTAAACTTTATAATTATTTTATATTTATATTATTCTATATATAGAGCCCAAATTTTAAAATTTACGAATATTTTACTAATATCACCTTTAGCTTTTTTTCGTCAAAGTTTATCAATCAAAAAAATGGTAAAAACGTTTGAAACATAAAAAATTAAATTATTTTCAGAGTAGATTTTGTATAATATTTTTTGTAATATTTATTAAGATTAACATAATTTAGATATAGTCAATTTATCAAAAAAATAGGGTATTAAAACAAGATTTATATTATAAATATGTAAATTATAATAATTAAATAGAGAATAAACCCCGAGATTTAAACATAAACGATCAATATAAAATTTTTATAAAAATATAAATCCTGCATATTCAATTTTTTTTCAGCCCAACCCCTGTCAAAATTTAATTTTTAGGATTAATTGAAAAATATTAATTAAACGCATTTTTATAATGATAAATAAAATAAAAATCGTTAATTGCTTTGTCCTAATCGGGAACTCCTACAACGGGGTGAGTATGAAACAAATGTCTTAATTAGCAATGGGATATACGCACTTGAGACAATTGTATTGCACCCCCCCCCCCCCATAGTACTCCCTCATAAGATGTATCAATTTTTTATTTATTAAATTACATATTTTTTCATTCGAAATATATTAGATAAATGAAATCTTATCTTTTTATAAATTCTCTTATTTGTTGCATATTGAAAAATTATTATATTTTTGAATTTTTAATTATATTTTAAAGATCAATGTTTTTATTTTTGTGCCATAAAGACGACTTTATATTTTATAATATTATTTAGTATGTAATTAAGGGGAGGGGTATGATGCACATTCTACATCTTTTTCGGGGGGGGGTATATATTTTATCTTGTTTTAGAGACTCATGCTAATCCCAGGGAAGTTCTAATTATCTAAAAACAAAAAAAAATTCCTATTTTTAGGACCAAGCTCAGATATTTTTTTAATTTAAGGCCCGAGTTAGCCTCTTACTTGTACGGTTTTAAGATAGACTAAATATTGTGTCTGACGATGCTTCCTAGATATTGTTTAATTTTCTAGTTAAAATAATAGAAATTTCTAATTTTTAATTAAAGAATGGAAAAGTTAAACTTTTCTTCTCAATCTCTAATTCTTAATACATTAAAGGCGGGTGTTCAAGATAGAGTTTCCAAAAAAATAATTTTTTAATGTATTTAGGTAAAAACTCTCAATAGTATTATTTTATATTATAATTTATTTATTAAAAAATTAAATATTATGATTTTCATTTTACAAATGCATAATAATGCATCACAAAAGTTTTATTTGTCTCTTATAATATACAATGATCGTTTTCAATATTCAGTATTTTAAGAATAAATAAATTGAATATGTTTACTTAAAATATTAAAAATTGTCAAGTCTTTTATTATTTCTTATGTATCAATTTATATTACATTTTGATTTTATCTGCTATTTTATCTAATATTTTTTGTTTTTGCAAAAAAATTTTAAATACCTTAATTACACATATACATATCCTTTTTAAATATACATTAATTTCCCAAAGGAGACGACTACTATTATGTCATATAATGACCGATTGTAAAATTTTAAACAATTGAAAACTTTTAAGACCCGACAACACTTAAACACTTTATTCCCTGTTTTGACTATTTGTTTTAAATAAAAAATTTGTTTGTTTATATTAAATAATTAAATTTATAAGTGGGAACTAAATTATTAAATTAAATGAATAGGGTGTTAATAAGTAATATATTTCATTGTCATCCTTTGTAGTTTTCATCTTAAGTGCTATAAAACTAAACTCTTAATAAAATAAAAGCAAGGTTTCCGATCAAAAGTACCATAAATCAGCATTATAACATGTTGGAGTAGCGATATAAATTTAGATAAGTTATTAAATAAATACTCAATAAAAAATATATAATAGATTTATTTATAAATTACCTGAATTAGCTGTGTTCGACTCATGATGACGATAAACATAATTATCAAAGGAGGAAAAGAGTTTCTGATAAAGATTATATATTATGTAACAAAAGTTAACATGAGATAATATTGAATACATCAATTATAAAATATAAATATAGCCCGTTTTTCCTATGATTTTTTCCAGTATCTAGTGTTTTAATTTTTTAAATCAATCTCAATTAAAAAATTTCTATAAATTTATAATCTATCGAGAAATGTTTATAAGCGATTTGACATGAAATCAGAGACCTGCAGATATCCATTTTTTAAACAAAGCCCGAATTTTAAAAAATATGTTTTACCGGGCTGTTTTTTTTAAAGATAATTTTAAGGCCAGAATTGATTTTTATAATTTTAAATTCTTTTATCTATATAAATTGTTTTAAAGAGAAATTGAGAATTTAGAAAATGAATGTAAAATGATCTATTTTCCCAACTAGTTAATTGATATCGTTTAAATTTATTTTAACATTGACTTGACCCATATTTTGTAAAATTTGAAGCTGGTTCTTTAAGCTCAGCCTAGAATTTTAAAATCATACTGTATTTTATGGCCCACTCAGGGCCTGCTTCAGGGTCAGATCTGCTAATCTCAGGATTAAATACATTAACTTTTTTTTAAATAAAATTTCTATATGCAGAGGGTCTAAATCATTATCAATGATATTATTAATAAATATCTAGATCTTACTTTTTATCTAGTGTTGTTAAACGGCTAGATCTGAGCCGATTTTTAATAATGGCTAACTCCATATTTTATTTAGAAAAATATTGTGCAAGGCTGTCAATATTGTTCATAGATGGCATAAGGGTTAAGACATCTTATTGGCGAAATCTCGAGACTCGGGCAATATTTTTCTGACTATAATACTGAGTACCCGGTTTTAAAAAATCGGCTCAAATCGAGCGTTTAACAGTACAACTTTTATCTCGTTCTCTCATAAAATAATAAATGGCTGGCTGTATCTTTTATTACCCCGATAGAATCCTTTCATCTAACAAAATCTCACTCTTAATTAATAAATGTATTTTTACATTTTTATTCGTATTTTCGAACAATGATTTGAATTCTATTTATTAATATGATGATAAAATTACCTTTCCGATAAATAATTAAAGCGCCTGACTACTGTCCAATAGTATAAAATATATTCTATACTGTACCATAAATTGGCCAATATTATTTGGATACAAGTAATCAGATAATATAATGTTATACTCAATAATAAAAATATGATGATAGAGGAATAATAATTTTTGATTGGTTTCTGACGATTCCGATGATTGATGTGTAGAGGGATGGTATTGATGGCCGAGAGAAACACTTGTGCGTAGTTGACATTAAATAACATTTCATTGTCGAAGAATTGTGTTTAACGGTTTGGTCTTTACCCTAAAAATGTAAGATATTTCAACAAATAGTTTTAAGAGATTTCTTGAACTAAAATTTAATAACTCTTTGACAATTGAATCAATGTTTAGCTTCATTGAACAAATTTTTTGAAGAATATTCCATAATTTAGATTGATTGTTTAGTTAATTGTAGTCAGTCAGAACCGGAAATATTCAGCCACAACTTTATGAATAAGAAATTTACTAATTTATGAGAATTTTTTGAATGTAATCTAGGACAACATATGCAATGACAGAAACATTTGTCCTTTGATTTAAAAAGAAATACATATTAAAGAATATAAATATTTTAAATTAATTGTTTTTCAAATAAATCACCACATATAAAAACCAAATCTTAAATTAAAATAGAAAGATGATTTTTTTTAAAAATGAAATGCTTAAATATATTTAATTTTAAATAAATAAAACATAATTGTTTTGAATAAAATTATAATAAATAATTTCCATTATAATAAAATAATTTGATAAAAAAAATGCTTAAAAAATATAAATTTATATGAAAATAAAAAATATCATGATAAATAATATAAATGTTATGTCCTAACCTAAGAATCTTCACGGAATTTTTTTAAAATATTTTAAAAATTATACTGTTATATATTGGATACTATATATTCATATATATGTTATTTGGGATATGGAATCCAGGGATTTGGAATCCCTCAATACCATATAATTACTCATTTAAAAATCTGATATGATCGAAGATGTATTCCAGCATGTATAGAGTACTCGTACTGCGAATCTAGGCAATTCAGTGAACTTTTAAACTATTAATTTTTATATAGATTTTTTAATATAAATTAGAAAATACAAAAAGTATATAACAAAAATTGTCTGAAATTTATAGGGTAGTAGAGTTGTTTAAAATTACTATTTAAAAGAAAGTTATAAAAAAAAATAACTAGTTACATTACTAGCCACATTTTTAAAAGAACTAGTTACAGTTATATTTCAAAGTAACTAGTTAGATAAAGTTACTTTAGAAATTATTTACATAACTCATCAAAAAATTTTTTATTAAAGTATTTAAAAATTACAATCAAAAGAATTTGTATATAAAAATACAATTTAAATAAAAAAAATAATTGTACTGAAAATAATATACCACAATGTTATATTTATTTGCACTGAATAAATATTATATATTTATTTACACCGAAAAATAATAATAATTAACACAATATAATATTTATTTTTCAACCAATTTTAAATAAAGTTTTCAAAATTGGTGCCCAAAGGTAAAAAAACCTTCCCTAGACCATAAAAACGTTTGACAGGTGAGCGCTTGTTTATAAGTAATAATTTTAAATTTGGTAAATCACCATAAAAAAAATGAATAAAATGAGATATATATATTATATCTCGCAAATTTTAAAAAGTAACTACTTACTTTTGACGTTTTACATTCTCAATAATGTAACTAGTCAGTTACGAATTTCTTTCTTTAAAAAGTAATGAGTTAAAGTTTTTTTGAAAAATACAAGTTATGTTAGCAACACTAACTGAATACGTAAGCTACACATGTTGGAATATACAGTCAAATCAGATTTTTCAAATTTAAAAATTGTTCTCAGTTGACGATTTAAAATAGAGAGATTAGGAATCCCCATGGATTCTATATCTCAATGCGGTTAAAATATAATCTTATCTTTTATATTGGAATTATTTTTGAAATTATAATTAGGACAAGGCGAATTTTTTTAGACCCCTAGTTATTTGTTTATATTTTTAGATGATAACTCAAAAAAATCTTAAATGGCGGTCAGATGACTATAATTCAATCGACATATCTAGCATACATTATTTTTTAAGATGAATGGACGACATTGAACTGTTTATATTTTATATAATAAAATTTATTTTACAAATCGTATATTCCAAAATATTTATATAAGAAAATCAAAAAATTAAAATATCTAATGGAAAATAATGTTTAAAAAAAGAATATTCATTTGTTCGTGATTTGAAATAACCTACTTGAATATTGATGTATCTCAATAAATAGATGGATGATAGCAAGGTATATTATTTTTAATACATACATAAATTGACTTTAGATTAAACAACTCTCGCCCCCTTGACCATTTAACACGAAATAAGTTTTTTTTATTACATTTTAACAATGCTTTAAACACTATCTTTAATGTGTAAAATATATCATTTTTCAATGTTTACAGTATCAGGTAACATGGACCCCCCATCTTCCTTGTAAATTTCTTTTAAGTAACAATATGAATTTTTTTGTTAAAACATATTTTTTTGAATAAATATATATTTTTTAAATTGAAATGATCTCTTATCATTAAAATCTAATTATATAGTAAGTAGATTCAAGAAACTAAAAATAAGCTTTTTTGTCATACTATGATGATTTTTAATTTGTTGTTACCTGATGTTATAATTATTTAAAGTACGGTTTATTTCATAATTCTTCATTTTACCTTGAAGACTCGGATATTTGTCTTGGCATTAACCAAAATATAAATGACTTGAAATAATAAAATTTAAATTGATATAAACACAAATTAAAAAAATTTTAAAACTACAATTATAAAATTTAAAATAATAAAGTAACTTGACAAAATACTATCTAAGCTAGCTAGGCTACTGATAATTTATGATTGATATAAAATGATAATATTTGAATTTGTAATAAAAAATATATATACTTAATATATTATAACACATAAATTGTATAATTTATGATAGCAAAAACCAAAAAATATGGCTATTGGCAATCAAAATAAAGGCTAATTTAAATTTAAAATTTTAGGATTATTGGATTTTATCTATAATTTATGCAAAAAGTAAAAAATAAATTTTTAATATATTCGCTGTAAATATTTTGAGAGCGTATAATTTCGATTATATTAATAATTTCTACCTTTTTATTGCTTAAAATTTGGAATTGATTAATAGAGCTTTGCAATTCGGCCCAACGTCGCGATTGATCATAAAAAATTGGGTCGGGCTTGGACTTGAATACTTTTTTTAAAAATCTGGTCAGGTCTAGACATAAAAAAATGTAACCAATAAAATTATAAATAGTGTTTTCTCTTTTTAAACAAAACAATCTTTCGATTATTTCTGTGATTAGAACAAAGCAATTCGCGATTTTATATAATTATCTTTATACACGTGCCAATTATTATTTTATTCGAAAAATAAATATGGCTGAAGCAAGCTCGATCTTAAAAAAATAAATAAAATTTCGGGCCGGATTCGAGCCGGAAATTTTATTAGGATTAGTATAATGGTGAGCAAAATATTAATTTGTTTCATAATTGTTGGTTACATTTACAAGTATAGTGTTAATTACTCGTTCTATGCAGATGGACCTGATTCTCAACTCTCAAATAATAGGTTAAGACTTAGGAAATGTTAATGACTATTCGAATGGAAATAGGAAAGAAAAAAGAAAGATTTTGATGTTTATTGGAACAAGTCTTGAAAATATATTCTTTAGTTGAAATAAGGGAGACTGGGGCTACGGCAAGTAGTAAAATGACAAATTTGATCGTCATTGAAAAATAAAATATTTAGAGAGGAGTGTTAAAAAAATTGGGAGAGTATGGTAGAGGGGAAAATATTTTTAGGAAAGTAATATTGTCATAGGCTTGGGCCTATAATAAGACTTTATATACGTATGGTTAAAAGAGAAGAAAATCTTTAAGAATTATTACAGCACTTCTATATATTCTTATATGTGGAAAGATTTTACGAAAGGATTGGTATTGTGTAATGTGCTGCTTAAGTTAGATAACATTAAAAGGCGTGAATATTTGATATAGTGCACTAATAGTTTTAAATGGCATATTCAAATTGTGTGAAATGGTCTATTTTATGTGTGCCTTTATTGTAAAGACTAATGTTTTTTTAAATATTCATAATTAGTTTTAGTGTAATTAAACAGCTTGATTTAGGTGATTTCAATTAATATTTTAGCCAAAATTATACTAAGCAAGCCTCGAGATTTCATTAACATGCGTCCATTCTTTTCACCATCTGTGAGCAAAATTTCCAGGCTTGCATCTATTTTTTGTCAATAATATTGAGTTATCCGTTTTTAACAATCGAGCCATTAACAACATTATTATGGAAAAATTATAGCAATACATTTGAAAAAATTGAGTTTATGTGTGAAATTTGATATTTGCAACTTTACCAGAAGAGTTGGGAATCCATGGTTGGGCAAATATAAAAGAGCACGACTTGTACTTAATTCTAAATAGCACCCTCAATATAAAAGGTAGAAAGCCTCGGATTTTTCTATTATTTTGTAATATGATGAGTCTATCCAATGATACAATTAATTTGAATCGCATAAAACAAAAATAAAATTTTATGGCAAAAGAGCAAAACACCTGCTATATTCTTTATTTGTTTCCTACTTTCTTTCTTCCTTACTTTCTTTCTTTCTTTCTTTCTTTCTTTCCCGGTCTCCTTTGTTACTATAATAATACTGTCCAGACAAGGAAAGATAAGTATATGTATTATGTATTGATAAAAATTAGAATTTAATTAGTTATTAGAACTGGAAATTATTAAAATTATTTTATAATGTTTTGGTGAATTCCATAAATGGAATAATTATTATTTTTTACATGCACCTCTAAATATTCAAAAATTGTGATACGATAGATAAAATGCGGAATAACTCATTGACTTAGTGGACTAGTTTAAAAGTGTCAAACGAAATTTTGCAAATTTAATATTTTGAATTATATGTTATATAAAAAATATTTAATCCATTACCTATCGTATTTTTGTATTAAATCGAGGCTTTTAATCATATATTCTTGCATTTGTTGTTATGTATACATATAATGTAGAAAAAGATATTTCTGAATTTTTTCTTTTTCTTTTTTTTAAATTTAAATTTTAAGATATCTTTAAAAATTTAAAATATCTAGTTAATTATAATAATAAATCCTTATGCTTTCTTTACAATTATTGCACATTATCTAATCCTAGTCAAGCTACCGGTGTGATTTTCAAAAAATAAATCTTTTTTTTCTCATATCAGAGTAATTAATGAAAAAAACTGACAAATTGTTTTTTTTTAAATTTCTTTTTTTTAAATAAATTTGATTAATTTTGATATATTATAACCAATATGTTAAGAGAAAGAAATGATTTGAGGTTGAGAGAGATTTTGGTATATTTATGAAGAAGAAAAAATTAGGAGGATAGATTAAAATGCTATATAGTTTATTTAACATTACCCAATGTAATTATTATAGATATTATTTTCTGAATAACATAGGTGTAACAATTTATTCATAAAAAGAATCCTATTGTGATAGATTTTGGAACAAAAGGTTAGTAATAGAATTTAATTAAATTTTTATAGTTTTCCGTTAGTACTAACGCATTTATATTAGTTTTTGGAGTATTAGTGTTGTTAAACTAATCTTTTTATGCCGATTTTAAAAACGGCTAACTCAATATTTTATCCAGAAAAATATTTTGCAAGCCTGGAGATTTTTCTTAAATGGTACAAAGATTTGGACATCTAATTAGCGAAATCTCCAGACTTAGACAACAATTTTCTGGCGAAAATATTTAACTAGTCTTTTTTTAAAATCGATTCAAATCGAACCGTTTAAGAACACTATAAAAAATCATAAAAACTATTGCTTGTAAATTAAATATTTGACCTGATGTCCAGTTTATTGCTGATAAATTTACATATTTTTTAAAAACTTGGTAGATATTTAACTATTCTATGCATTGAAACGCATGTAGTGATAAGGTAAAGTGCATAGTTTGGTGTTGGTAATAATTTTTATTTTAAAAAATTCTATTACCTTTAAAATATTATACTATTTTTTCGTCTTCTTTAACATTGCCGAGTAATATTAATGAACTTTACTTTATTATGTATTAGGATACAACCAACGATATTACATCACCAGTTTATTCTAAACACTAAACAGTATAACCGTACAAGTAGTGTTGTTAAACGGTCGGATTTGGACCAATTTTGAAAACGGCCCAATTAAAATTTTAGCCAAAATAATATCATGTAAGTCTCGAGATTTGGCAATTAGAGGTCTAATAGTGCGTACAAATTGAACGTTTTAACACCGCGTTTTAAAACGCATATCAATAATTTAAAATACAAAACGCAAACGTACTCAAATTAAACAAATGCAATTAAAATGCATTTTTTGCGTTTTGAAACGCAACTTTGAAATGTTCAATTTGTGCGCACTATAAACCTTTCTGCTACCTATGAACAAAATCTCCAAGCTTACGAACACTATTTTAGCCAAAATCTTAATCGGACCTTTTTTAAAAAAATGTAAAACCGTGTTTTATTTTGGTTCTTGGTTTGAAATTTTAAACATTTTTTATTCCTATTATTTTCATTCCGTTTTATTGTTGACGGAAAAATCAAACAAATTTCTTTTAAAAACTATTTTAAAAAAAACCAAACAAAAATTAAAGAAATTAAATGGAATTTTTTTTATTTTATATTAAAACATGAATAGGAAATAAGTAAATAACACATAATTACATAAAATTTATACTAATTTTTTAATAATATTTTTAAATTATACAAATCATTTAAAATAAATAAATATTATCTCAAAACAGCTATTAACCGGTTTAAACCGTTTCGAAATTAGTTAGAAAGGTTTGGTTCTTTCATTTAAAAATTTTCCTTTGACGGTCCTGTTCAGTTCAAACAATTTTAATGGTTTATTTAGAATTTGCTGTTCCCCCGCTCACAATTACAATGCTTCTTAAAATATTTTTGCGAATATATAATTGACGTTGATAAAGTTTTCTATAAAATTTTAAGATTATGAAACTTAAATATGGTGTGATACTTTTTTTTAAAATATAAAACACTAAAATTTATTAAAGCTCACTTGAAAAACCGTGGTTCATGTTTTTATTTTAAAATAATTATATGTTAAGTAATGTTTAATCTCAGTCAGATCAAGTATATATTACGTTAATTTAACCTCAGTAAAGGTGCGAAGTCAGCTAGGAGGAGATTTGGGGTGAGAAAATGCAGATAATTTAAATATTTTTAATAAATCTTTCACTTTCAATTAGTCACTGATTTTATTTAGGGGAGTCTATTATAAGTGTTATTAGTATTACAGAATGACCTGAAAAGGATTCTTTTACATAAAGACGCCTTACTAGGCTCGACAGGGCCAATTTTTCTTTTCTTTTCATTAAAATTAAATAAATTTTTATACATTTTCTTTCAAAAAAATGATATTTATTTAGTTGAAATCATCGCATGAAATATTACATCAGGCTTAAGGTCAAATGTTTATAAGGAATTTCATAAATTATGTGATTGTTGAATTCTACAAAGTTAAGGCATATTTATATGAATTTGGTATCGTATACTTTGACTTGCACCAAGACACTCCTATAGTTCAAATATTTTAGGAGCAATAGGAGAATATTATAAATTATTTATTTTTATCTAATCCGTATTTATTTAGTGTTGTTAAAAATCCCGATTTGTCGATTTTAAAAAAAGGATAAAATCAAAAAATATTATATAATCTTCGAGATTTCACTAAAGGTTCCTGATTCCTCAGGCAGCATTTACAAATATGCAAATGTTATTACCACCAAATCCTTCCGAATCTATTTTAAATTTTGATAGAGAAAAAATTAAATATTTGTTGTGAACATATTAAAGTATTCCATGATAAATTATTAGCTGATTGCAAAATGTGCTATAAAGGGTTGATTATGGTTGATAATGTTCCGAAAAATGCTATTGATACTTTATATAATTTTTTTAAACACATTTTACACTATTTTCATAATATATTAAAATTATAATATATCTAGCATCTCTACCCATTAGTATACCACTACCAATGGAACTTTAAGAATGATAGAAAACCTGAGAAGTACTACCTCTTAAAAAACGATTAAATAAATTAGCCCTTCTTTATAGTTGACATCAGTAACGTTACTAG